TTTATTCCCTTACTTAATTTTTACATTGTTATTAATATCGTAATAATAAAATGTTATTATTAAATGAGGATTTTCCCCTCATATATTTTTTGTTGATTTGAATGTAACATCAAATTAAGAACGGCACACAATCATTTTATTTATTTTGGATTAATCATTTCCTGCTTTGCAATGATTTCTAAATGTAGATCCCTTCTAGAAATTCCAGTTTCGTTTACTATAAACTCTAAAATAGAACTGCACACAGAAATACAACAAAAGGAATTCTCACTTTACCATGCGTGCAGCGGGGCATGTACGTAGACCATCTCTCTCCGGTCTGAATAGGAAGTTATAAGTCATTGGTTGAAGGGAGGAGACGGTGAACTCCCGCTGAACTCTCACCTCCCTGGAACCTTTTGCCAGAAGCAAAAAATGTATTAGAGCCGAATTTAAGGACAAAGATCAGACAAATGTCCAGGAAAAGAGTGTTTATAAAAAACTTAGAAGGAACTGACCAGGTAGAAATGAAATAAAGAACAGTCTGTATTTAAACCAATGGCAGCCAGAAAGATGAAACTGAGAGAAAAAGCCCCAAAAGGAAAAGCTACTCAGTGTGGACCTTTTAAAGCAGGAAAAAGACAATTTAAACCCTGATTAGCAAAGAAAAAAGGAAACCGAGGAACCAAAGCTAAATTGACACATGGGGGCAGTATTTGGACAGACTTGAATCCCACCCCAGACATAGCAGGGCGGGGCAGTGAGTGGGAGGAGCCTTAAGCACCTCGTAATGACCGAAAGATTGCAAACTAACAACGTCTGCCGATCCCATTGGTTGACATGATTAACCTCATAACGCAGCGTCAGGTTGGCATAGCGAGGTGGGAAGGGCATTGTGTGATGATGTCGACGTGACACTCATACAGCCGTACACAGCGACTCCATGGAAACGCATAATCTGCTCCAACAGACAACACCCAGTTGGCTAATACACGTACGAATTCATGCCGCATTTATGTAAATACAGCTAAACAAACACAGTCAACTGTGGCGCACACTGACAGAGAAGACAACAGATTCATGGACTTACACACTTGTGTGTGTGGTCATGGTTTTGTTACCTTGTGGGGACCGTTTCCAAGGATTAATCTGCATTTTGGGATCTTTTAGTTACTTGTGGGGACCAATGACTTGTCCCAATGAGGAGAGTTTCTCTTCTTGGAGTGGAGGTTAAAAATGGAGTTTAGGTTAGGGTTAGTTATGAGATGGTAATGTTAGGCCATAGACATGAATAGAGGTTGAGCATGTCGGGGGTGCTTGTGTGTGTGTGTGTGTGGGAAAGATATTAAAAGAGAAAAGGATTAGTCATAGTTTTTCTAGCCCTTAAAAAGTGAACGCATGTCCATCACCTGATATATAGTTTTGCTTTTTAAACTCTATGTGTTCTTTTTGATAGAAAGACAAAAACTACAGTCAGAGTGATGAAGAAACAGTGCTCAGCACAAGTCTAGATTGTAACCATGGCAACGCCTTGGTCAGAGATGTCACAGTTTAGACTTTTACTATCTCAAAAGTTGTTCCTCTTTTGATTCTTCAAACTCATTTAAATTCATTCATGTCACCTGAAGGGGTTCTATAGAAAGGATTCAGTCAGATTATCCAGTAAGATTAAACATTTTCTTTCTAAGGAAACACAACTTGTATTCTGTTCTGGAGCAATCCCTCACTCTGAGCATGCATGCAGCAACAGTGGAGAGGAAAACCTCCCCCTTTAACAGTGAGAAACCTCCAGCAGAACCAGAGCCAGGCTCAGTGTGAGCGGCCATCTGCTGAGGGGTTCACAAAGACAGAAGCATAAACTGACAATAACATGGCAGCACTGATGACTAAAGACTTTCTGTGTTGGAGAAGGTACAATAGTTACCTATTGCTCCATAGGAAAGAAACAGTTAAGCAGAAGACTTCTGAGCTGAGCTTTATGGCAAAATGATTAAAAAGAGAATATATAGTAAGAAGTTCAACTACAAATGCTGCAGAATTGTAGCCTAGTAAACTAGCCCAACCCGCCAGTGGCCAAAATAATTTTTGCCTGCCAGTTTGGTCTAGCTTAGACAATCACAACACAGCAATGTTTTTGCAATTTCAGGATGAAAAGCAGGCTATTGAACAGTAGCATAAACTGCAGCAGCAGCAGCTTCCAATAAAGCGCTCCATTGAAGTTAAAAGTTCTTTTTTCTGCTGCTGTTGTTCAATAAAATACGTTTTAAGATCATTTGAGGCGAGAATATTATACTTTAAGGCGTCACTATATGGTCAATTTACCGATTTAATGCATGATTAAAAAAACTATTTCCGAAGTTGATAGAACGGTGGAGCAACCGGTGGAGCTCCGAGGCTAACGGCAGCCAGGGCTAACGGCAGCCCGTCTGCAGCGGCCCTCTCTCGGCATAGCCGTGTATGAAGGACCGATGGCTCTGATGGCGATTTTTGACTCAGCTTTGGAATCAGTTTTGGAAGGATTAAACTTGGGGTTTTCGTTTAAACGTGAGCAGGAAGAGGCTCTACGCTTATTCATTTTCGAGAAGGACGTATTCGCTGTTTTATCGACAGGCGGTTTGTGTCCACTCCCCCACCAGCTTCCTGTCGCGCTTCCTACGTCACAGTCAGTTGCGCTCATTGGTCAGAGCGTTGGCCAATAGGCACAGACATGGTTTGACAAACAACAGGTTGTTCTCATCAACAATCTTCCAATGTCTCATTCATCGGGGCCAGACTAAATTACACATTTAATCTCACATTTAGTCTGGTTTAGGCTAGCAGAATAGGAAAATTAAAGCAGAATGAAGCAGAGTGAGGAAAACTGGTCCCTATGTCCTCCAGCAGACAAAGCTTATAGCAGTATAACTATAGATAAAGTTCTGGATATTTGCCACTCTAACTTTAGGCTTTATTTCACCAGAGGTCAATGTTAAACATAGCTGTAATCAGAAGGTAGTCGAGGTTTCAAACTAGCATGAAGCACAGAGCTATAATAAATTGGGAGAGCTTTGTGTTGCTTCTAAGGAAGATGTATTTTTTTACATTACAACCAGTCCTGGAAATGTTGCAGACTGTCCAGAGATGTAGAGAAAGAAATGACTATGGGGATATTGGGAATACCCAAGAAGACACAGTCAGTGGAAACAGCTGATCAGTCATGTGAGATAAAAGTATTTTTTATTTCATTCCTCATTTAGCACACTAACTCTTTTTTTCTGAACAAGCCAAAAAAAAAAAACTCAAGGGAGCGTAAAAACCCTTTTTACCACTGAAGAAGCATATAAAGTGCAACGAACAGCATACTTTTAAACAAGACATCTCTGTTTAGAATCCCTGTTTTGAAAATTAGATTTTTCACTCTCATTATCTGTTAACCGTAAGCAATATAAAAAATAAAGCCTTGAAATATAAATGAAATATGGTCTTTATTTTATTAAAAAAGACTAAAAGTACCAGATTTTTCCATTTTTTCCATTTAACTTTATGCTTCTGCAGATCTAAAGCTGTAGCTCTATCACAGGCTTAGGATTTCACATGGAACCAAATATGCAAACTACTCAGCTACTAGAAATGATTTTCTGAATGAATTGTGTTTTACCGTCGTCCATTAAAGGCACCCTGTCAATTTGATTTGACTTTGGGTTGTAAAATACGGATGCTTTGTTTTAATGTACATTAGACTTACACGTTGACGGTGTTTTCAGTTGTAGCTTTGTTAAGTCCTTGTTTAGATTTTCATTCTTTGCTGCCAAAGCAGTGGAGATATTTATGGCAATGAAATAGGTTGGTGTCTACAGGCCAAACCCTATAAAACAAACAAAAAGAAACAATGGCTGACAAGACATCTGGTTTGGCAATACGATAAATCTTTAAAATAAAATAAGTTTCTGCACTTTACACGACCTGTTATTGATTATGTTCCGATTAAGAAATTAAAACAGTTCAAAGTATATTCTGTTTTCTGTAAACTAGGCCAAATAAAATAGTAATTTTAGTATGAGCTAAATACAATATCCAGTGTGCATAAGTTTGATGCACAAGTAGCTGTTGGTGATGAAAAAACTTAAGGAAATGATCATAAACCAATGCTATATTATTTTTTTTGTCATGCTACACAACCAGAGAGAGAAACCTAGATTTTAAAGATCTACTTGGAATATGTTTAAGCTAAAGCATAGTAACCTAACACTACATAGTGAATGTACATAGAAGTGTTCAAATAAACCTCTTGTAATTTCAGTGGTGCATTTTGCCTGACTTTGGAGAGGCACCTAAACTGTTTCATAATTATGGATTGTTCACATTGTTTAAAGGGGGAGGTTGGTACCAGCTATTTGTTTAAACGTTGGAATAAGTAAAACCGTTTGTAGACTATTGGATAACAGGTCAAACACGAAAAAAGGAGCAGATCCTTTTTTTCTTAAACCAACAGAGCCCTACCCAATTCCTAAGCTCTGAGTAATCAGCCCAGTCTGCTCTAGAACAACTAGTTTACCTTCAGCCAAACGGCTCAGAGTCTCTGCATAAATCGGAATCAGAAAGAAGAGGTTCACACGCAGACAGAATTCTTATCACACTGCAAAAAACATCTAGAGATAAGTGGAAATGTCCTAAAATAAGTGACTCTACCCTTAATTTAAGTAGGTAAATAAGATCATTTTCCAATGAGATTAATATTTTAACTCTTAAAATGAGATAATTTGATTGATCCATTGGCAAAGTGTCTCACTTACCTCCCTAAATTCAAGTAAAAATACACCTTAAAAAAAAAGACTTATTTAGATTTTTATTCTTTGCAGTGCAACATGTCTAGTTTATCATGTGATTGGCTTGGATATAATTTTATGGAAAATAGATTTGTTGAAAATCTGATTATTTCATCTGTGAGTGTAACAAAAATGAATTTTTGTTTATATTCAACTCCAGGGGGCAGTGCAGCGTGAAAGATCTTCAAACGGATTTAAAGTGTATCTGTTTAGGGTTGAATTTGACCAATTTTCTATATTAAGAGGATCGTTGTTCTCATTTTTCAGAATTAAAGTAGTGGGATCTCTCTCTCTCTCTCTTTCTCTCTCTCTCTCTCTCATCCTCAAATACACACAGAGCCTTACACAAACACACACACATACTCGTTCTGACATCATAGTGAGGACCATTTGTTGATTGCCATTGACTTCCATTGATTTTCAGTCATTTTCAACCCTTTCTATGCCCCAACCCTAAAACTAACCCTAAACCTAACCATAACCAATGCATAACTCACCCTAACCATAGTCCTTCACATAACCAATTGAAACCTTAGCCCTACACCTAACCATTAACAAAATAGCATGTGAGAACTGCCAAAATGTCATCACTTTGCAACAACTGGTCCTCAATTTCATGGTGATATTGGAAAAATGGTCCTCACTCTGAGGGCAAGGCAGGCACACACACACACACACACACACACACACACAAAGAGAGCATAGAGAGATACAGCCACTTGGGGCAGTGTAGTCCAACAGTTATCTGTAATCTGGGCTAGACTGGGAACCCTCTGGCAGTTGTGAGATGATGTATGAACCCAGAAAGGGTCATTTGTCTATTCTAC